CATACAGTATCTGTCTAAATGGGCATTCCTTGGGCAGAATAAGTTGCAATGTGGATCAGACTTTATACTTAAAGTCAAAAGTCAGGCTACTTGAGAACCTTCTAGAGCCGGATCAGACCTTCCTTAATCCTCCAGGTGGCACTCAGACTCCAGTCCTTCAGTGAGCCTGATAAATCTCTCTGGTTTTTGCTGCCACTCTTCCTAGAAACCCAAAGAGAAGATGTCCAGGCAGTTCTCCACACTCAATGCAGTTATTTATATCTGGACACAAAGAGGAGACTGTGTATCTTGGCAAAGCCGAGGGTTCAACCCTTTCAGTTGACTGGCCGCAGTTCACCAGTGCCAAACAAATTACTGTGTGGTGGGGGCCGGATAATTAATGAAACATGGAGAATGCAGAGAGAGAATGATGTCCGCATATCTGGGAGGAAAGTTTCAGAGGACAAATGAAGTGTAAAATTAAATCTGCAAGTTGGTTGTAGAGATCTCCCAAAATAGAATAAAAATGAGGACACAGACACTATTATTTATTGTTTCACTCATGGAATATGCTGTATATAGCCGGATGACTACTGAATCTACAGTACACCCAAAGAAATTCAATAAGCGAGTGCAACTTTAGGATCCGTTTAACACATTTTACTTTGTTAAAACCGTTTTTGGGAATTAAGTTGATGTTCCCTCAAAATCAACACTGAAAATCCGAATAAAAGTCGTCTGGGCCTAATAATAACTAACCCGAACTGCAGTAAAACATGACATGAAGAGCTGGCGCTAACGGTGGTGAGAAATAAAAACCGTAATGCTTATTCACCATAGAGTTCGTATATACACTTCCTTGTGGAAAAAGCCCTGCCAGAATCTGGTGTGTTAAGAGAAAGGAAGTTCAGGGATGGTGTTGAGGGACCAACTTGTCAGACGTTACCTCACAGACCAATCCAAGGTGGCTCAGACTTCATCCTTTGCTAAGTTGTACAACCTCCGCATGGAAATCCCAGAATTTACCCATGGGTCAAATGCAGGAAGCTTGTTAACAGTGGAAAAGTGGAAAAGGCATTTTTTCCTGATGCTCTCTCTCGCCTCGTGTATTGGTAGCATGAAACTGGTGTCCCTTCACCTGAATGCCAGCTTGCTCAACCCTTAGTTGTCTTCCAGAATCTCTTTGCCTAATGTTTGGATGAGGAAATTTCTAATTACGGAAAACTTCACTTAAGACGAAAAAGAGACTGTTTCCCACACACAGATTTATTTTTAGTGAGAATAAATGTCATATTTAGTGTGGCACAAGAGAACCAACTCTGAGGATGTTTATACATAGACCAGACTCGTTGGCTGTGCAGCAGGAATTCTATGATATTCCGGTTGGTGACCTTGGAAAGACGTGTAATACGGCAGCTGCTCAGGTTCGTGCCATTTATTTGTTTTTCCAAAATAAGAGACCCTTCCCTCCCTACATTTAAATCTCTCCATCTTCTCCTAAAGAAATGGTTGTCACGAAATTCAAAATTTGCTCATTGTTTATTTACTCTCACATCCTTTCAAACCTTTTTATTTTCCAAGGAGCATTTTTGAAAACATCTTTTCCATTCAAACTACGAAAGGAACAAGAACATTTTTTTGTAGTCTATACAACTTGTGTACTGCATTCTGAGCGTTCTGAAGTTATACAGTAGTTTTGTATAAGAAACAGACCAAAATTTAAAGTCGCGAGGGAACTGAATAACGAAGGATCACTACATCCGAGTGTAACGGATCATCGGAAAAGTTGATCGGTTGTTGGCTGGATGTTGAGATGTGGGCATTGCACTCAAAAGTGGAGGCAGGAAGGTCCAGTTATGACATGAAATTTATGAGACTGAAACATTTTTTAAATAAAACATATGCACAAATAATTATTTACAATAAGTTCTATAAGAAAATGGGGTGAATTTCCATTTCATGCTGACTTTATGCACTGATGGTGCATCAGAAAAATACATACAGGTTTGGAATGACACAAGTAGGAGAAAATGATGATTAAAGAAGGCTAAAAAAAAAAATCAGTTTCATGAACTAGTTAATAGAACAGAAGTACAACTAGTCCAAAATAATTGGCATAATCAATCAGCTATTCTTTTCCATCAGAAAGCAAACTAAAAACTCAACGTTACATCTGACAAATGGTTTGTTAAGCAAATTTGACTGCATGTGTTCTTTTCCTGATGATATACAGTGATTTGTATATTCAGGGCTAATCGAGACTTCAGCCTAAAGTCTCCAAAGTCTCCACAATGCTGCACAGGCATGAATAAGCCATAGAATCATAGACAATCCATTAAACAAAGAATCCTTATGCCTGACAGCTTGTTACTACAGGCTAGAGTTACTCAGTCAGCGGCTGTTTCTGTGCTCATAAATCAACAGTGATCAACAACATTCAGTCTCTACAGCAACCATGAGAGGCAGACACATGGGGTAACAGAAGCCTGTTTAACAGCACAGCTCTTGATCCGTAAACAGAGAGATACGTGATTTGGGAACAGAAAGAAATAAACTAAATAATAAATTAGCTACAGCTGTTATTGTCAAGCCCAGGCTTTTCTGCCAAGTCCAGAAAAATAACAGTAGTGGTAGCCAAAACAAATTAACAAGTGCACACATCAGCAAAAGAGCTTAAATATCATTAATAATTAATTAGTGGTGCATGCTAATGCAAGCATTGCAATTACTATTGCCCAGGGTTAGGTTTGAACAAGTTTTGAAGAAACTATATGTATTAAACTTCGGTGCATGACTTGTCTAACAGTAGCTACGTTTAAATGCACTCAAATAATCAGTTTATTAATGGCTCAATCTGACTAAAAAGCCTTCATGTGAACATTTCAATCCATCCGACTGGGATATAATCAAATAAAACTTCGATCAGATTGAAAGCGGTGGTGTAGACCTAGAAAAATTAAATTGAAAGGAAAAATCAAAATAATCATGTAAATGCTTAAACCCGAAATTCTTCTCAAATAGGTTTCAAATAGATCAAAAATACTTCACGCACATGTGCAGAGCCATGCCACACATTGTTTACATACACGTTTAACATCTTACAAACCGCTTGCACATCTTAAAAGATTTGGCGCATGAAAACATACCTGGTGTTTGTGCTACTGACATGAATGATAGCCTATCATACTACATGCCCTACCAGTACCAACCACCCAGAGCACCATAGCAATCACATAACATGCTAAAAAGACTCAAAACAACCCAGCAACTGCATAGCAATGTTATGACAATCGCCCACAACAATCTAGCATTATGATTGGCCAATTTTTTACAAGCAACCACCACTCACATTCCCTTCAGAAAACATTAAAACCCATGTATCTCTAATACAAGTATATTTCTAGAGACAACAAACAGGTGGCCTACCACTACATTTAGATTTCACCAACATGCCAAATTTACTGTTATTGTTATTACTGTAAAATCATCATGAATTAAGATAGGAAAGAATGTAAAATTAATCTTTCTGTCATTCCTAATGTGTTTTAAAGGGGTCCTATTATGCTTTTTCACTTTTTCAACTTTAGTTAGTCTGTAATGTTGCTGTTTGAGCATAAAAAAGATCTGCAAAGTTACAAAGCTCAAAGTCCACTTCAAAACGAAATATTTTATTTAACAGAAATTACTTTTGAAAAACTACAACGAACAACTCGTTTGGACTACAATGTATATTTTCCGGGATTTGTGATATCACAAATATCGACGAATGGGACGAGACCTGGTTGAGCTGCACTAGAGAAGGCAACGAGTGTTATCACTATGTTGGAGACACGCTAGCTTTCCCAAGGCAGACGAACTTAGAGTGGTTACAATCATCCGGGTTTAAATAGCGCTCAAATTGATTTGATTTTGACGCAATATTTACACTGAAGCTCGCAGGTGGCTATTGTAAGGGGCATGACATTTCCTGACCAGGCACTGAGTGCTGCCAATCACAACACACACTGGCCCAGCTAACCAATCACAGCACATTTCGTATTTCAGAAGGCGGGACTTCATTTGATACAGGAACTATTCGAGCCGTTCATGCCAGACTGGGGAGAGAGGTGTTGTAATAATGTAAAATATGTGAAAAATAATGTGTTTTTTTAACAACCTAGTACGAGAGCCTGTTCTAGTACACCCCCAAAACAAAATCAAGACTTTGTAAAAGAGCATAATAGGACCACTTTAAGTTTGAACCCCTTTAAAGAAAGTCAAAATAAAACTTTCAAAGTAAAGTTTCAGAGAAAGTTTGGGTAACTAAAAAATCGTAACATAATTAGTCAGAATGGGCTAAATAAATGCACGCGATCGCCTGACGAGGTAACCAACGGTAGGACAGTAGGCCACTCTATGGTTTGCATTAGAATCAGTATAAAAAAGTATTTATCAATTTATTACAGCCTCAGATATAAAAAATAAATCACAAAATGTCATTAGGTGTTTTGTTTAAACGTATTTAACATACTTGACATTAGCGGAGAAGTCCTAAAATACGATTTCGATTGGTCGTGCCGAAAACTGATAGAAAATCGCTCCCAGTCAAGTCAACAGATAGGCTATTGTAATTTGCAAATTGATTTATTACCGACTCAGAGAGAGATATATATATATATATATATATATATAAATAAATAAAGATCACAAAATGTCATTATGTGTTTTGTTTAAACGTATTTAACATAGCCTAGGCCTACTTGACATTAGAGGACATTGCTAGAAGTCCTAAAATACGATTTTGATTGGTCGCGCCGAAAACTGATAGAAAATCGCTCCCAATCAAGTCAATAGATAATGTAATTCGCAAACTGATTTTGTTGTTATAAAAATAAATGTAGGAGGCTTTTTTGTTTTTTTTGAGGATGGAACTGTTACTATAGTAATTTCAATTTAGGAAACATAACAGTAGTTGCAACCATACCAAACATTTCCCCAAAACAAGCAGCGTATCTCTCGCAGATGAAATAGCCAACAGTCAGTCGCACCACATCGACTTGTTTATCTATATTTGACTTTGACTGGCTTTTGACGTGATGTCATTTCGGAGTAACATGACAGCAAATAGGACCCAGCAGAGCTCTCCGGCGAACCTCACCTGTCCCCAAACGCACTTTTACTTTTCCACCTGAAGTCGCCTGCAGAATCCCGACATCTGTCAGACTTAAAGATAACGGCATGTTTCCTGCTTTGCTCTGCAGTTTGTTGCTCCTGCACGGCTCGCTCGGGGAGATCGTGTTCCGCTGCCCGAGCTGCACCGCGGAGCGCCAGGCGGCGTGTCCCAAGCTCACCACCTCTTGCGAGATTGTCAGGGAACCGGGTTGCGGTTGCTGTCCGGTTTGCGCCCGGCTTAAGGGCGAGCTGTGCGGCGTCTACACGCCGAGATGCGGGAGTGGTTTGAGGTGTTACCCGAGCGCGAATTCAGAGTTACAGCTGGAACAGCTGATACAGGGACTCGGACGATGCGAGAACAAAGTGGACCTGGAGCCCACTATGCCCAACCAGGAGTCAGAACACATTGGTGAGTCTCAAGACTTGTTTGTGAACATGGATTGATGCACAGCCGCTGCCAAAATGTGTGCATATTGCACGGATGATGTTGCAGCAAATATCAGTGCAGGGTCTTTGTTCTGGCACCTTTTTCTCCACCATCTTGTTTGATTGTGTATACAGCCAACTGATGGCTGATGTTAGATCACCAACTTGTGTCTGAACTGCTTCTGGTGCATCTGCTCATACGTGCTTGATTTTGTTTAGGATCAGGATTCTCACAGTCATGGAAAACCTGGGAATGTCAGTCAGTGTTAAAATTGAGATTTCTTTGGTAAGGCCATGGGAATTAATGCAATATTTAAAAGTCATGGTCATTTATAGAGTTTTTGTAATTGTTTATTTTTATATTAATATGTATTTATTTTTATGTATTATATATTTAAATATTAACATTTTTTTTCATATATTTCATCAGCTAGAAATCCTCTATAAACGTATAGTTTTATAAGTAATCATAAAATAAAGTGTATAACAAAGTGGAAGTAATTGAATATATTTTTAAATTATGTATGTATATGGATATTAGGGATGTGCATCTCCATGACTGAGGCCGATACGATACGCATCTCGATGCATAGCCAACGATACGATATATTAAAGATACATATGAAGCAGCTAGCGATGCGATACGATTCACCCCTGTTACGATGCAGTGCGATCCGATTTCGATTCCATCCGATTCAACACAATGCGATTTGATGCAATACGATGCAATGGAGAAAATATGATAACTTTTCATGCCTTGAGGCCTGTTTCATAAAACAAGTTAACCAAATAAGCCAGGCTTATTTCAGTTAGTCTGACTCATTGTCAAATGATTTGGTTCCATAAAGCAAATTTAACATGGGCCTAGATCAAGCTTAGTCACTGTGGCAACTTGTGCTGGGAAACTAACCTGGTCTAAAGCAGGCTAACTGTCAGACTAAGCTAAGCCCCTCTACTGACCAATAGCAACATAATGATATTACCACTGTCTCACATACTATTATTTGACTTTTTTTTTTACACTTTCTAGCCATGCAGCCTTTCTCTCTGGTTTTATGACAGCTGTACCTTTTATAGTTTGCAGAATATTAGAATATTACAATCTAAAATTGGTTTTTAAAGCATTAAAATAACTAAATTTGAATTTAAAATCACTGAATTAAAAATGAAAATAAGCAACTTGTGCTGGGAAACTAACCTGGTCTAAAGCAGGCTAACTGTCAGACTAAGCTAAGCCCCTCTACTGACCAATAGCAACATAATGATATTACCACTGTCTCGCATACTATTATTTGACTTTTTTTTTTTTGTACAGTTTCTAGCCATGCAGCCTTTCTCTCTGGTTTTATTAAAGTTGTACCTTTTATAGTTTGCAGAACATTAGAACATTACAATCTAAAATTGTTCTTTAAAGCATTAAAATAACTAAATTAAAAGTTAAAATCACTGAATTAAAAATGAAAATAAATAATAAAGAAAATATATTGGTCACAGATTATTGGTCACTTTCTAAATAATACAATTATTATATTTATTATTATTATAGATATAGCGCATCCACTAGTAATTATATATAAATTAATCGGTTTTTACCGATGCAAATATGTTGGAAACGATACATCGCGATACAAATTCCAACTTGTATCCGATGCACACTTTTTAAACCGATGCATCGCATCGTTAATTTTTTATGCCGATGCACTGAGCGAATCGGGGAATCTTCCAATCCCTAATATATATATATATATATATATATATAAACTTAGTCATATTTAATAATTCTTATCCATAAACTACATGAAAAGACAATAAAAAATTAAATTGAAGTCAACATAGCCCTATATTATACTCACACAACACATATAACAGATTTTAAAATAATAATTTATTTTTAATTTTATTATCTAGAAATTATAATTTTTTATAGAGTAATATCTAGTTCATGGAAAACAAAAATATCTACATAACAAGGTGCTCCACTTTAGCAAAAGTTAAACTTTTCTCATCTTTGAGTTGCTGGACACACCCACATCCTGTCCTCAGCAGTCACTGAGTTCAGGTTGTTTCATCAATGCAGGTGGCTGCCGATGGGAACAGGGCTTTATCCAGTAATAAATGACTGGAAAAGTCATGGAAATTTCTATAGTCACTGCTGGTCCAAATTTATCAAGTTATGTTAAGCTTATCTGGTCTAGTCACAAGCACTCAAAAACACTGGAAAAACTCATTGTCGAATTCTGTGTAAACCCTGTTATATTTACTTAAATTAGATGGCTAAAGCACCATATAAACCATGCTTTTATTATTACAGTCCTTGGGTGTTGATACAGGCAGATTAGATCAGTAAGCTGCAGCATTAGACATTTGAGGTCAACTTCTTTTGTGCCACCATTAGAAGCAATTGGAGATCTATAACATTGTGGCAGTCTATAACATAATGTGGCAATGAAACAACGCTTTTGGGTGCAGTGGGATGGTCAGTGTTGAAATTTAGTTGACCATGGGACCATTGATCCCCTCAGTAAGCAGATAAGCTTATCACCTGTTGAACTATTGACACGGTAACGTTTGCCATTCTTTCATTTGTCTTGGTGGTCCCTGAATAATATATGTATACGTCTTTGAAACTTTCTCAGGGGTTAGTTCTTTCAGAATTGGGAAAAAAAAGTGTATCATGCACAATGCTGCCTGTTGCCTTGATAATATCGTTTGTATAATCCCATGTGGGTGTTATCAGAGGCCATCTCTTTTGCTCTAAAGGCCAGGATGAGCAGTTTTTGCCAACCTTTTGCCATGCAACTGAAATATGTGACCTAGATTTCTAATAAAATAAAGAATTTTCAAATTACTGATGACTAAATGGTGCCAAATGCCTCTGCTTTGAAACAAATTGGCAGCCGTTATCCTGTTGTGCTGTTGCATTTTCCAAGAAATCAAGGGTGAAAGGCTAATGTCGCCTGGCACAAATTGGACTTTTGCACACTGAACTTTGAGGCCCGTCCAGGCACCCTTGTGAATCTGCCCCGCTACGCTAGCTGAGCAGCGTTTGAATGGTGTATTTTGGGACACCAGTAAACAATAAGCAACAGGGCTGCCCAGCACCAGCAGTTAATCTGCTCATTTCCAAGCCTTTCCAATGCAGGCTTCTAATAAAGAGAAAATACTGCCAGCTCTAAAGATAGTTAAAGTTCACCGTTACTCACCCTCATGTTTTTCTGGCACTGTGTTATTTTATTTGTTCTGTGAAAAATAAAATTTTTTAGGCTTAATGTCAAAGCTTCTGCATTCTATACAGACATGACTGCAAATGATTTTAGTGGAGATTTTTCAGTGAATATTAATGTTTTATTATCTGTTTGTCACACAAAACAATTGCATGGCTCTCAAAGACATTGAATATGGCAGATAAAGGGTAAGTTTGCTGATTTTCAACCAACTTCGCATTGTTACATTGTTGGTAGTATAATGTGAATGAACAATGTGTACTTTTTCTCTGTGTTAACTGCACCAAGTCTTTTTTTTTTCTCCACAGCCTCTTTTCTCTGTTTACTCGTCATGTAGAACTGATTTAAAAGAAAAAAAAAAAAACTCTTTACTGTATTGACAGCTAGCTTTTATTAAAACCTAATTTTGCCAATGCCAAATTACCCCTTTAAGTCACATGGACTTTTATGTTTATTTTGTTTGTTGCAGCTTAGCAGTATAAATCACCATCCACTGTGATTGCATGGAAAACAGAAGCTCAGATATTCTGCATTCGATCTCTTTAATGTTTTCTGGAAGAAATAAAATAGTAGCTGGATTTGGAAAAACGCGAGAGTGAGTAAATGATGACAAAATCATTTAACTAACAGTTTAATCAAAACTCCAGTTGGCAGATTACTTGGCAGTAGTGAGGTGTGTGGTCCGTAACATACACATTTATCTTTCTTTTCTCAATGTTTTCTGTGAGAAGAATTCAAAATCAGCATCAAACCAGTTAGCCCTGTGAGTATGATTACTGAACGTCTTGTGGAAATCTTGTTAGCCAAAGCCAGTGTCCACATTCTGGTCCAGTACTTCTGTTTCTGCTTAACAGAAAACACAAATTATTGCTGATCTAATGAATGCCGAGTATGTCTTCTATTAAGGCTCATTAATGCAGTGAACTATGAATGAATGTTGTAATGATGAAATTCACTAGAAGGTGCTACATCCAGGACTTCTGATCCTCTTCTTTGTGTTCGCTGCATGCCATTGTGTTATACTGCGTGGCCACTGCTCGGTATAGCTTTAACCAAATGTTGTGATTTGGCACCCAAGCATTGCATCTCAAATGAAAGCTCATTCCGCACTGCGGCTGGTGAATAACATTCAGTGGTTTCATCACACTGAGCATCTCTTAATTATCTGAAACCTCGCTGTGCATGCCCTTAACTGTGAGCATAGTGCACCACCTGTAGTTAGCATTGTTCATATGTCAGGCGGCTGCCTCAAACATGATCGAGCATGCATTAGAACCTGATGAGAGGAACCTCTTTAGTAATGACATTTAACCAGTGCACAGATGCTGGCTTACATAACGTTCCCTTGGCTTTAACTTTGGATCAGTTTCAAGAAGTCTAGAATATGTTTTGTCCATATCCGGGGTTTTGAGAAGAACTACTTTGCAGCATGTGTGACCACACATCTGAGGACCTCTGTCATCATTATGAACTTTAGCATGGCAATTAAAGGATAAATTCATGCAAAAATGGAAATTGTCATCATTTATTCACCTTCGTGTTGTTCCAATAAAAAAAGAGCTGCTTTATTTCCAAACGACGGAAGTGCATACATACAACTTCAAGTCTCATGTTAGTTTATTGTGAAGAACAGACTGAAATCTAAGACATTAGTTGTTCATCTAAAGAGTTCACAGATCTTATTCCAACTTGTGTTCAATTAGAAAAATGCCGTATTTAGATGTGTCACACCAGATTTAATGGCAAATGCCACTGGTTC